ACCTTCCCGGTTGAACGAGTGGGGAAGTTAACTATCTGTGTGAGGGAATGGGAGATTGAAAAATTAAGTGTTTGAATGCCTGCGTGGTCAGTAGTAGCATTCTTAAGCCACAAGGTGTGATGGGCGTTAAAGTCACCAAACACAAAAATATGAGCAAGACGGGTGGAGGGAGAGGCCCTTGTCTATGCTGTCAGAAATGCTATCGAGTATCTCCCAGTCTTGAGAGGATGGAGAGCGGTAAAGGAAGAAGAGATAGTTTACCGCATTGAGGAGAGAGAGTCGGAGACACATGTATGACTGGTCAGGCGATTCGAGAGAGGACTCTCTGGCCAGAGGGTGATGTTCCTTGACGTAGACACCAAGACCGTGCATGTGGGTTAGAGAGTCTTTTCTGAGGAGAGGAAGGTAGCCTGGGATAGAGAGATCAGAGGAGAGGATAGACGAGACAAGGATTGTCTCACAGAGAGCCAGTATATCCGGGCCGTTTGCAGTGAGGAAAGATTCCAGACTGCAGAAGTTTGTCCTAATGCCCCGGATGTTGGAGAACGAAATGTTGAGGGGTTTAGGTGGTTTTTGAGAGGCTGGTTTAGGGTTAATCTTTCGGTTTTTGTAATTCATGTTGAATTTTGTTTGTAAGATGTACAAAAAACAGACAGTTTCGACCGTGACGCGGGCAGAGAGGAGTTGGCAAAATCTGCATCGTTATGTGGCCTCAGGGCTGCCCACCGGAGGTGACTGCAGGGACCCCTATCCATGCGCGACATGACACTAAAAACACCCCGGTATTATACAACTGTTGATCAGAGCAGCCGCTTAAGACGCTACGCAAGAGTTAGGGCTCCTAACTACCAGTCGGAAACAGCAACCAGAGAACTGTCAGCCGTGTACCCTCAGAATGAAGAGGTGATGCAACAGACTGCACACATCACGGGAGAAACAGAGCTGCACTAATACAGAGGCCGGAGAGAGAAGACAGTACCGGGAAATCTCCTTCGGGGAGTTAAAACCGGCCCTGAACCCGTTTATACGGTTTCAAATAGGCTATTTTTTGGTCGAGTCTAATGGCTCGGAAATGCCCACGTTAAAAAGGCCTTGTGCCACATGACGCCCTCGTAGGGGGACGACTAAATATAGTCTTGCTCTTATGTCCATCGTCTTTTCATGTTGAATTAAATATAGTCTAATGTTAATTATATGGGTTAATTGTCCATCCCACAAAATGTCTAATATCTAAAAAACCACTAGACTAATTGAGTTTCTATTTCTCAGGTTTTTTTTAGATACGACGTCAAGAGAACGGTGAATAAGTTTTGAAAATAGGGAACAGTAGTGGGGAAAATTAGAACAGGAGGTCACAATAGAAAGAGGGATCATCATTTCAACTTACAGCTAAAAACATTCTTATTGTTCAGATTAGAGTCAAATAGTGTTATAAAAACCTCGCAGAATTCCAGTAATATATCTTTAATCCTTTCGACGATACAACGGTTCAGAGCTTAATCTGATAATTGCTGTCACACGATTTGGACAATTTTGCTGTTACACCCGGTAATCAGGGAGAAGTCCTATTATTTAATCAATAGTTGGGTGGAGAAGAAGTGAATTTTTTAATCATTTAACCCCAAAGAAGGCGACAATGCCAATAGACCGCAGGGGGGGGGGTTGCAGGGATTGAAAGTGAATGAAAATGAGAAGTCTAAAAATGGAGAGGATTGAGGAAAGGACAAAAAGAAGAAGGTGGTGATTGATGTTGTATCTGAATCTTTGAATATTGTAGTTATCAGGGAAGCAGAAAATCTGAAGGGAGTTCCACAGTTGGGAAGCACGATAAAATAAAATGTTAGAATAGAACTGGCAGCTGCAGGTATCTAGTTCAATAGTAAAAGGGTGAGACCTAATTGCCAATCAAGTAAAAGGCTTAAATTCAAGTGGTTGATGCACAATTGAAAAAATTCATCAGAACAGTTGCGATGAAAATATTTGTAGAAAAGACAGAGGGAAGCCACGTGAAGTCGGCGAGAAAGTGACTGAAGTTGACCTGTCTGGTTAGGATCGATTATATTACGTACCCTTCCTTTGATTTTGTCAAGAATCTCAAGATGTGCAGCAGGAACACAAGATCAGATATACACAGACGAATTGTAGATTTTGTAAATGGGCAAGAAACGTTCTGTTACAACACAGTAAACCAACTTTCCTAGCAATAGATGCAGCTATGGATCCAATGTAGTTATTCCATTACAAGTCATTATAAAACGTGAGGCTAAGAAGCCACAGTGAGACACTCTCCAGGAGTCCAGCATCAGCCATACTGATTATAGACTGTTTGAATTTTGACAAAAATCTCAAGATATATAATGGGGTCACCAGATATGGCAGCAGTATTCAATGCACAGACAGATGGTAGATTTATAAATTTGAAATTTGGATTCCGATGAGAATTTTTTGTTGGCACGCCACAGTGAACCAGTGTTCTTTGCAATAGATGTAGCTATAGCTGATTTGATATCAGTGACAAACGTGAAGCCAAGAAGGAGCATGGCGTTGCTCTCCTGGATGAGACAATTGGTTACACAGTCACCAGTTATGTGCCATGCGTGATACACTCTTAGGCGATCATGTATCGTCTGTCATACTATTTACCCACGTGGGGAGAAGAAGATGATTCATACCGTTCCAAAGGGTATTAGCACATAAGTTAATGTAATGGATTCGACTGGAAAATCAGTCAGTCATGTGCCATGCGAGATACACGCTTAGGCGATTATGTATCTTTCGATACATGACTGACGAAGCAGACCATTTTCCCGCAGTTGGTTGCCATTTCTTTCTGCAGTAGACCAGTTACCATCCAAGGCTATAGAACCCTTTCTCTCCAACTATTTGCGCTCTGCTGGGGGGGGGGGGAGATGATTCGTCCTTTTCCCAAGGGTATTAGCACGTAAGTGAATGTAATGGATTCGACTGGAAAGTTAGTCAGTTATATGCTATGCGTGATACACGCTTAGGCGATCATGTATCTTTCGATACATGACTACCGAGGCACATTTTTCCCACTATTTCTTTCTTCGGTATTCCAGTCACCATCCAAAGATGTGGAACCCGATCTGTTCTGCTATTTACCCATAGAAGAAGAGGATTCAAGGTTATTAGCACGTAAGTGAATGTAATTGATTCGACTGGAATTCGAACTCGGCTCTCCGATTCATCAATTCGAACCGCTATCCATGGCTCCTCCTAAAAACATAAAAAAACCGAAAATGTGTTGCAGTCTTGTGTGTATATGTATCTACTAGTGAGCTAGCCCAAATGACCTGACTCACTTTATAGGCCACCAATAGAAGGTTAACCAATCAGAAGACGTAGAATATTCAATCCGTCGGGTATAAAACCGGCCATTTTGTTTACTCTATCCGAATGTCCAGTGCCAGCTTGTCAGGCGAAAAGGGAACAGAAGGAAGAACTACGCTCTGCTACTTTTACCGGGATATCCACTGATAACCTGAACTACGCTTCCCTACCATCTTCGAAATATTCACTGCTAACCTCTGGATTCTATACTCGAAGACGACCATCATCATGAACAACAAAATGTTCAACGTAATGAATGACAGTGTTCGAGCTGATCTCAATAGTCACAAACCAAAAATGCTGATTGTGAAGTCTTCTACATTGGAAAGATTGTGTAGCTCAGAATTTGTATCCCAACTGCACACTTATGGAGTGAAATATATGTAGTTACTAATTTTGTGCGATCTCATATCGGTTATAAGTCTATGCTATCGCCCATCGTTTAACGATAGCCTTGTGCCTTACTATATTACGCATGGTAAATATCGACCCATGTTACCATGAACAGAGAGAGCAAGTAAAAAGAAAATTAATAGAATTTAAATAAGTGAATGAGAAAAAGAAGATGAAATGGAAGAATTAATTCCCGAAGAGTAAAGAGAGTCTTGTGTCCTTCCTGCTAGACAAAAGCCAGTGTAAGGAAGTTATCCTTGACAAGCAATCGAAAGAGAGAGGGAGAGAGAGAGAGAGATAGAGAGAGTGTGTTATTGTTATCGATCCGACTTCCATAGTCAATTTACTGATTGGAATCGCAAATAAGATGACTCATCGTCACTACAGACCCCAAACCTTACCATCTTTTAGCGTTCTACTCCACCCTGTAGCCTTTTTTTTTTTGTTTTCCTTGTGACTACACTGCCATATTCCCATCGACACAAAGCCAAGCCTTTGCGATAGAAGTGCGACTTCGCGAAAAGCATGCGTTCTTGGAAGAAGGAAAAAAAAACGGATAAAAAGGATTATTTTGGTCTGTGAGAAGGAAGGAAGATAAGTCTTCAGGGAATACGAAGAAGAAAGAGAGGCAGAAGATTTAGAAAAATCGCGGTTCAATGGTTTAGGAGGGGGGACGGGACAGGGGGGAAGGAAAAGCGTCAAGACGGGGTTTATGAAGGTAACAAAAAAAAAATGGTAAATAAAACTAAGGAATCGAGACTGGAGAAACTTTCGTAGACAAGATAAAAAGCGAAACATTCCAGAAGACATCTTTTTAGAGATAAAAGACTTACCTGACATTTTGAGGTACATATGCCTCTACAAAGGACAGGAAATTGTGGAGAGCCATGATCGCTTACGTCCTGAAGGGACACGGCACATAAATCCACTGACGTGTCCGGAATGCAAACTTTGTAACATCATAATTTAATTCTGTTTGTTCCTCTGTTAATAGGCGTACGACCGTCATCATGACGATTAGCGAAGTTAAGCAACGTCGAGCCTGGTCAGTAACTAGATGGGTGACCGCTTGGAAATGCCAGATACGAAAAGCTTGAATATGGGTGTGGTATGGCGTACTGACACATCTCGTTGAAACACCGGTTCCCGATTAGCGAAGTTAAGCAACGTCGAGCCTGGTTAGTACCTAGATGGGTGACCGCTTGGAGATACCAGATACGAAAAAGCTTGAATATGGGTGTGGTATGGCTTACGGGCACATCTCATTGAAACACCGGTTCCCGATTAGCGAAGTTAAGCAACGTCGAGCCTGGTCAGTACCTAGATGGGTGACCGCTTGGAAATGCCAGATACGAAAAGCTTGAATATGGGTGTGGTATGGCGTACTGACACATCTCGTTGAAACACCGGTTCCCGATTAGCGAAGTTAAGCAACGTCGAGCCTGGTCAGTACCTAGATGGGTGACCGCTTGGAGATACCAGATACGAAAAAGCTTGAATATGGGTGTGGTATGGCGTACTGACACATCTCGTTGAAACACCGGTTCCCGATTAGCGAAGTTAAGCAACGTCGAGCCTGGTCAGTACCTAGATGGGTGACCGCTTAGGAATGACAGATACTAAAATTTGGGATGTGGGTGAGGTATAGCTTACCGACATATCTCGTTGGTACACCGGTTTCCGTACGATCAGCGAAATGAAGCAACGTCGAGCCTGGTCAGCCCTAGATGGGTGACCGCTTAGGAATACCATACACGAAAAGCTTGGGTTTGGCTGAGATATGCGTCATGGTCACATCACGTTGAAGCATCACGTTACTGTAGGACCAGTGAAGTTAAGCAACGTCGTGCCTGGTCAGTATCTTGATGAATGACCGCTTAGGAATACCAGATGCTAAAATCTTGGATGTGAGTGAGGTATGGCTGACTGCCAAATCTCGTTGAAATTCCTGAACACCCTAATTAAGCATCTAGTCATGCAACCTGGATATGAGGGTGCCGTAATGGTTCGTTATATTCAATTCTACGCAAATATCCACTATTTCCCCACAATCTATGGATTAATTAGTAAGTGGTATCTTCTTTTATGTGCCGTGTCCCTTCAAGACGTAAGGCGATCATGGCTCTCCACTTCCTCCTATCGCTTGTAGCTCTCAATAAGTTTTAGCCCTCTGCTCCTTCCCCCAGGCCATGTTCTGTCATCCACTTGCTTAAGCCTGCCAGGTATGTCATGCGTTGCTTGCACTTCTCTCTCTTTCGCCCTATCTATCCTGTGAGTATCAGATTCTCCAAGCCCTCCTGACGTGTCCCAGAAATTTCAGCTGCCTCTTCCTGATGTTAAGTATAAGCTTCCTCCTTGTTTGCTTCATCTCCAAAACATCACATTGCTCGCATGTTCGGACCATGGGATTCTTAGCATCCTTCTATAGATCCATACAGCCTCTTCTTCATCTTTGAGGAGACCGACCAAGATTCGCTCCCATAAATAAGCATAGTTTGGTTTGGTTTATTTGGTTTTACATCATATCAACCTCAATGGGTTATTTAATGCCGACAACATTTTTAGGATATGTTCGTATGAATAGAATATGTATTCTTTGGTTTAGATTGGTTTGGTTTATTTTGTTTTACAATATATACCACAATTTATTTAAAGACGACAACATTTTTAGGATAGATTCGTATGAATAGAATATGTATTCTTTGGATTAGATTGGTTTGATTTATTTTGTTTAACGGCATTCTTTGGGTTATTTAATGCCGAAAACATTTTGAGATTGGTTTGGTTTAGATTTTTGTTTTTTTTGTTTACGGCATATCAACACCTCAATGAGTTATTTAATGCCGAAAACATTTTTAGGATAGATTCGTATGAATAGAATATGTATTCTTTGGTTTAGATTGGTTTGGTTTATTTTGTTTTACGGAATATATACCACAATGGGTTATTTAAAGACGACAACATTTTTAGGATAGATTCGTATGAATAGAATATGTATTCTTTGGTTTAGATTGGTTTGATTTATTTTGTTTTACGGCACATCAACCACAATGGGTTATTTAATGCCGACAACATTTTTAGGATAGACACCATCAGAACAATGTATGTATTGAGAGAGTAGATGGCATTAAGGAAGCGCCCCGGTAACTTGGGCATATTATACGTCGAGGTGGCTTCGATAAGGGCATTCTCCTGGGTCCAGTGGATGGCCTTCGGGGAGCCAGTGGGTGCCTGGAACGACTGTCGATATATTGGTTTGATAATATATAGAGTTGAACTGGAATAACGGTGACTGAGGCTCTAAGGCCAGCATCAGACCGAAAGAAATTGGGGAGAGTGGTGACCACAGCGACACAAAATGCACTAACTGAATTAATATTTTGTTCAGAACTGATGTATCTTTATGAATATTTTTTTTTTGCAATTTCTGGGCTTGCATGTTAACTAGTCTAAAAGAAGATCCCTGAATTATATATATATATATATATATATATATATATATATATATATATATATATATATACTTTATTATAGAATATTACATCGAAAACAAGAATAACGTTGAATAGTATTGTACTGAGCCATCAGTTAAATTAATGTTACGTACGTCGAAATTTATATTAGATTCGTTCTCATTTCATATCTATCTATCTATCTATCTATCTATCTATCTATCTATCTATATATATATATATATATATATATGGGTATACTGCTAGTATATATATGTCGAATACGACGGGATAGTCCACCACCATATATATATATATATATATATATATATATATATATATATATATATATATATATATATATATATATATATGGTGGATACTCCACAATCTCGCTTTCCCGACGATTGTTTCTACATTTGAATGATAACTCTAACATTTTAAGGCATTTAAAACATCATGTCTGTAATCTTTTTGGGGGTTAACTTTAAACTTAAACTGCTTCAACTGTACGACAAAAATCCCCAGTAATGAAAGACCCGGTCGAAGACGGGTTATACTGCTAGTATATATATATATATATATATATATATATATATATATATTATTATTATTATTATTATTATTAGTATTATTATTAATTCATATTTCATTAAATAATATAGACAAGTTTTGTCTATTTATTTTAAGTAAGTTCCTTTCATATTGTCTGATAAGCTTAATAACATTATCATTGAAGGCTGAATGGAAATCACCATATTGATACATGTTTAAATCTAATCTAAGCTTTCGGCTTACATAAGCCATTATCAAAGATGACAATTACTTTTCAATATATCAACCAATACACGGATGAAACAATAATGATAGTCTGTTTTTGTTGCATGAAAAATTTAGGCATTTAAAACAACCTGCCTGGCCGCGTACACAATTCCGGAAAATCCTCATTCAAAACACAACTATACTTAAACATGAAAACAATAAACACAAACTAAAAATTCTTGAAGCTATATATATAAAACAGTTGAAACCGAACCTGAACAAAATAAACTATGAAATCTCCACAAACATTCTTAAATGCCTATAATTGATAACAGAAGCCATTGGTTTATACCAACGGCTTCCCATACTTAATACTTCTCGTTTTCACTCTCGCGTAGTCATGTGTGACGTCATGAGTTGCGGTGCGATTTTCGCTTCCAGCGTCTCGTATGCACGAGTTTGTCGTTGCTTGGAAATATTTCATGTAAACAAAAACAGACTATCATTATTTTTTTTCTTCGTGTATTGATTAATATATTGTAATGTAATTCTCATCTTTGATAATGGAAAGCTTAGATAGGATTAAAAAATACATATGAATATGGTGATTTTCTTTCTTCGTTTAATGATAAGGTTATTAAGCTTATCAGACGATATGAAAAGAATTTACATATAATAAATAGACAAAACTTGTCTGTATTATTTAATGAAACATGCATCAATATATATATATATATATATATATATATATATATATATATATATATATATATATATATGTCTGTGTACAGTAAATTGCATGCACATTTCAATGTGTATGTGTGTGGTTTAATTTTTTTTATATAAGGTCGTGCAAATATTTCCTATCTCGTCACTTTTTTGTGTCTGTATATATCTAAATATGTCTGCGTGCTTATGTATTATAATCTGATTGTGTTTGTATTGTCTTTCGCAAGATGTCATAATCTCATGTATATACTTGTATCCATGTTGTCATTAAGTTAAGGGCAGTTGATCTTAACGTTTATTCCAACGTAATTTCAATAGAAACAAAATAAATAGAATAATATGTATTTTTTCTTTTTTCCTCAATAATTTAAAAATTTTAAACTTAATATAGATTAAATTTACATTATTGAAATGGGTATTTTTTAATTTCAAATTTTATCGTACAATTTAATATTTATTAGTTAGAATAAATTCTTTTTTAGTATAAACCCAACTTTAAAGCAGTTAATAGTTATTATTACCTTAGTTCGTTGTCAAGTTTTTTGAATTCTCGTATACTTGTATTTTGATTGGTCATTCCAGCTTATGTAACAGCGTTTCTCCTTACGAGGGGTGGCTAATTAATTTGAACCATTTAAAACATTTATTCTACAATCTACATTCAACATCATCACTTGATAATACAGCAGAGATATTGAAACAAAATGGCTATTTTTGTAGTGATTTTATAATATACTAGCAGTAGAGCCCGGGATGTAAACAGTAAGAGATAGATCAAGTATCGACCATCATAAAGACTGAAAAATAAAATTGACAAAGATTATTGTTTAAGGTTGACGGACACGCATATCTTAATTAGTTTTTTTTTTGTTTTTTTGTGTTTTTTTACGAATTGGTCAAACCCAAACTCAAACAAAAACATTGTTTTCAATCGTTATGAGTCTATCGATTGAATAGAATTTTATTATAAACAATTGTCTTTTACATTGAATTTTTAAAGCATTCTGAATGTAAAACTAAAAAAAAAGTGTGCAAAACAATAAGAAACACTACCTGCCAAAAAAAGTGAAGTTTTGTTGAAATCGGTTGAAAAATGTAGGAAATCCGATCCCATATATAAACGAACACACACACCAACCTGGGTTTTATAATAAGTATAACTCGATATGAGTTGTCCCCCTTTCATTCTCGCGATGCCTCTTAATCGTGTTTTCAAATTGATTTCGTGCAAAAACAATTGTGTTTTTCCAATTTTTGACGCTGTCAGAACCACCGCAAGGTAATTTTATGTAGTCCTGTGAAGTTTAGTTGAAATTGGTTGAAAAATGTTGGAAATCCGATCCGATATATAAACAAACGGACACACACACACACACACACACACAACCTGGGTTTTATAATAAGT